TCAAGCCCCCTACCCAGCTCAGCCTTTCCCCTACACCATAGCCTCCGAGCCCCCCAAAACTCTCACAGCAGAGCCCAGAGAGGGGGCGGCTTCTCGCTCCTCCACTCCCGCCTCGGCGGCCCGGGAGCCCACCACTTCCCCTCCCCTGTTTGAGTCGCGCTGCAGCTCCCCGCTGCAACTCAACCTGCTGAGCATGGAGGAGGGGCAGCGCTCACTGGAGCGGCAGGACAGCACCACAGTCCAAGCTGGGGGTCCAGGCAGTGGGGCAGCAGTTGTATCGGGGGCAACAGGAGACAAGGGTGGAGCTGCAACCAAGACTGATAATCACCAACAGGTGAGAAGCGTAGAAAGCTCAGAGACCCCCTGAGAACTTCATCCTGAGACTGAGAAGTGTCCTAACTGATCTTCCTTCGTTTATTTCAGCTGGAACCCAGAGGCAGAGGGGCTCACAGCGATGGCAACTCCTCGTCCTGTGACCTTCTGGACATCCTGTTACAGGAGCAGGAGGACGCTCACTCCGGCACCGGGTCAGCCACCTCAGGTTCCATGGGCTCAGGTCTGGGTTCAGGTTCGACATCAGGCTCCGGATCCAACGACTGTCGGACCTCAGCTAGTGGAGCGTCTGGCAGCAGAACAGGTGAGCTGAGAAACATCCAGGTCCTTTAAGCTCATGAGAAAAGTAGATGCCGTTCTTAGAAAAACTCTTCTGACCTGTTCCACATTTTTGGTTGGAGTTTTATATGACAGACCAACTCTAAATACCTGGCATGGATTAGTATTGAGCTCTTTTTAACCCAATACCCCTAAGTGAAACTTATTTTCCCTCCTTGTCGATTTCCCATGACTTGTAGGAAGCAGCAACACCAGCAAGTACTTCGGCAGCATCGACTCTCTGGAGCACGACCTGAAGGAAAAAGGCAAGATGAGGAGCGAAGGCGGCTCGGAGAGCAGCAAGTCTCAGCCCAAAGTGTCCGCTCAGGGGGAAGGGGAACATTTAATCAAATACGTTCTGCAGGAGCCTCTTTGGTTGCTCATGGCCAACGCTGACGACAAGGTCATGATGACATATCAAATGCCATCCAGGTGGGTTACTGTTGGAAATCAAAATGTTATGATCTTTGATGTCTTCTGCTTGGGTTTTACTTCAACAACTGCTTCCAAAACAGGGACATTCAGAGGGTTCTGAGAGAAGACAAGGAGAGGCTGCGACAGATGCAGAAGAGTCAGCCTCACTTCACCTCAGAGCAGCGGCGGGAGCTGGTGGAGGAGCATCCCTGGATGAGGAGAGGAGGCCTCCCCGCAGCTATCAATGTGAAGGTCAGGATCACACATTGCAATCTGCCTTTACTGACAGAGGGCTGAAATGATTAATATGATTAATCGATTATTGAAATAATTGTCTACTAATTTAGTAATCGATTAATTGTTAACTGGAGTATACACTCTCAATAAAAGACTCAAAAAACTCCAGAGGCCATTTGCTGAATAAGAGTCGTTCACCTTCTTAAATGTTGTAAATTTTCTACCTTGTTGATCCTTAGTTTTTTTTCAACACTGCAAAATAGGCCTGAAACAATTAACCATGATTAATTAATTATTGAAGTAATCATCAAGTCATGTAGTAATCAATTAATCGTTTACTGGAGTATCGATTACTTGTTGACAAAAATGCCACTTGCTGGAAAAAAACCCAACACAGTCAAAGCAATAAAAAATCCAAAACTGTACCAAAATACAACGATTCTGCATTTTAAATAAAAACACATTCGTCTGTTTTAGCCAAAACTTCTGAAGTGGAGTCGTTTCACATTCACCCAGTTCAGATTTACTAGAGGAATGCATTTTTTTCCTTATTAAAAACAGAAATTGAATATTTTTATTTGCATATAAAAAAGGCTCAAGTGGTTAAATAAAAAAATCTGTAGAATGTCCCATTTTCTAATCTGATTAATCATCAAAATCAATTACTAAAATAATTCTTAGTTGCAGCCCTGTCTGACAGAAACAGTACAATTATTGTGTTTGTTTTTGTGTGTGTGTGTGTGTGTGTGTCTTTAGGAATGTGTGTACTGTGAGGACTCTGCTGCTGCACCCATAGAGGAGGATCTACCCGACATGGACATGGGCGAACTGGGCGAGGATCTGGCCAGAGACACTGAGAGAGGCCAGAGCCAATCAGAGGAGCCCAAACCTCAGCCGGACCCTGACGTCTGAGGGGCCAAAGAGGGGCGGGCCACTATGGTTCATGGACCTTTTTAGGAATATACACACACTGGACGTGCCTAAAACACACACACACAACAAGAAGAAGAGCTCAGTGTGGCCACTGTGATTCTCAAAGAGGTGTGCCAGTTGTGTGTGTGTGTGTGTGTGTGGATGTTGGACCGTGCACAACGGCAGTTCCTCATTCCCCCCACATGGGGGGGTAGTAGAGCTTTATAAGAGTTTTGTAGCTGGGACCTACCTATAGTATTTTTTTCTGTTTCACACAAACAAACACACAGTCTACAAAAAAATGTCCTGTCTCATTTTTTATTGAACCATTTTTCTGTCTTTTGTCAAATACAGGGCATTTATTCTGATACAGGTGAAACTGATGCTTAGTAATATATCAAATTTTTAAAGATGTTATTTTTACAAAACAAAAAAAAGTGACTAAAAAAAAACAAAAATCCTGTGAAGCTCCACAGCATTCCTGTTATGATGCTGTGCTGCTCCACGTCCTGTTTGTGCTTTCCTTCAGACCCCTTCCCATCAGGATTTATGAGAAACAGTCGACCTTCGTTGGTTTTTGTGAGCTGCGAGTCTCACAGTTGTGTGTCATGAATAAATTAAGATTTTTCTACATTCTTTGGACCTGAGCGTGTGAAGTATGAATGTGTACAGCAGTATTAGCACTTGACTCAAGAGGACGATTGGTGGGCTGAGTGAAACTCGCCTCAGTGGTGACAATCTGATACAGATGATATTTATTAAAAGAATACTATTATTTTTGGTAGGTGGTAGATCCAAAATAAATGTTTAAGCTACAGCCAAATTAATACTACTATGAGATAATATATTAACACTCTAAGTATGATTGTAAGCACTACGGATTGTTTAACTTTGACGCTGAAGCTCACTCCGTTCAGCGAGAGTTGTCACAGCTTGAAAAGCTGCCAAAAAATATGCTTGCAATTAGAAACAATCAGCATCTGAAAAACGATGCTTTTAAATAAAGGTTTTAAAGAAAGAGGGTCAGTTTACAGGTGAATTTTTTAAAAGTTATATTTGTGCAAACTCTCAGCCTACAGCGAAAATTCTTGAGTAATTTTTTCGTCATGTTTAAGTGATGCATCACTACAACACTGTGTAAAACAAAGAGGTGGGAGGTTTGGCGTTATGCACAGCGATCTCAGTTCAAAACTCCCGGCTGTCTTTCTCCAAACTGATTCTAATTAATGCTATTGTGATTTGGCGTGTGCATGTTGCAATTTAGCTAACTGAGTTCTTTGAGAGCTGCAGTTCAGATCAGTGTTTGACTTTGAGCTGGTGGGAAAACATGAACAAGCGTAGCAAATCAGAGGGGCGCATTTCCCTCACGGGAGCCGCTCCTCTCTCCATCGTTTAACAGGAAGTCATAGGAAACTGTGAGCCACGCAGCTGGAGCAGTAATGGGACCCGGGAACAACTTTGGTGCTACAATTCAGAACAGCTGGGGGCCTGTGAATGTTACACAGACTTGGACCAATAGCTTTGTTCATGTTTCTTCAGTTAATTTTCTTATTCTGTTCTTTTTTTTTTATCATCCTACTTTTCTATTTTCCTTGTGCGCGTTTGAGTTTTTTTTTTATGTGTGTGTGTGTGTCGACGAAGGTAAAAGCTTTTGGAGCATCACCAGGGACGTACCCTACCTCTAAGTAAATCCTAGGTTACTGTAAGCAGATCATAGGATGTGTGTGAATGTGGAGAACAGAGCGATGAGTGATTCATGTTAAGAGTCTCTGAACATGCGTTTGGACTCCATCCTTCTTTCCCACTGAGTTGACGCACAGAAAATACTAGCAACCATGGCAACCACACTGTCTCTGTCTCTTTATTGTTAATTTATTTCTGTTTGGTTTATTTCTAAAGGGGCCCTCCAACATGTACCTGTTTGTGAAGAATGCAGGAACATCAGAAGAAACATGAGAAATGAAGCTGTTCAGTATCTGGTTGATTGTCGGGGCCCTGCTCCCTTTGCTCTGTAAATGCACACATGTGGTACCTGAACACAATGATGTTTATAGAGTTTTCCGTATATTAAATTAGCACAGTTCTGTGCATTTTTGTAGCTGAAAAGTTCGAATGTTGAAAACTTGTAATAAAACTACAGTAATGGAACCGTTGTGACTTTTTTTATTTTTAGTTTCATGTTGTCATTGCTCAGCTCATCTCTAACTATAAGCAGGAGAGTCCCAAATCAATACCAGTTTAGGTACCTACAGATGAGTGAGTTGTTCTATTTTACATAATTAGTCTATGATAGCGATTCTATCGCTAACAATGAACTAACTCATGTTATTTCTATGTACTTGCATCTCCTGGTAAATAAGTTATTTAGCTCCTGTAAACCCAAATTCATGCTGGAGTTGTACGTTAATGTAGAGTCTTTGTAGGACGAAGATTGTTGATCCACTTTTCTCCTCTTTTTTCGGTAAGTTTTTTTTTTTTAATATACTACCCTGTGACCAACTACCTTCGAAACACGAAAATTATGTTTATCTTTCTCTCTGTTAGAACGGTTGGAACAACCGTACAGGACACAGACTTTAGGCATTTTGATGCTGGATCAACAGAAATAAATGGGCTACATTTACTTCCTGCCCTCCATCTGCATTGGGTGACGCCATTGCTACGTCATCTGACACCCAGCAAGAAGTTGATACTTATGCTTCACACAGTAACTTGAAAACAAAATTATTTTATTTAGAACACAGCAATTCAGATTGTTTATTCTTCAAATTACTTGTTAAAAGACCTTTTTTTTTGTTAGAATTTAGCTCCATAGCTCAAAATTCAAGCCAGATCAGGCCAAAATTATTTACTTATTGGTGGAGCCTGGCTTCTGTGGTACGTTTAATAAGCCACTCACAACATGTTATCAGACCTGATCCTGCAATGCATCTGGATTATTTTAATCTCATCACATATACACACTACTATCCTGCCAATCAGCCAAGTATATAATCAATTCACTTCATGGTTTAGAACTGGACCCAACTGTATATTTGGTCTTTGCACACTTTGTGACACGCAGCTTCTGCTGCTGTTGCTGATAGACAGACGGAACAAACCTGTAAAAAATGCAGATATCAATGTTTCCTGCACATTTATCACATTTTTAAAGACAGTAGGGGAACCCCGCAGGTACCAACGTGACCCGGAAAAGAGCTGCATCAGTACAAAAGTCTTCATGGAGCCAGATAAGATAAACATAGTTTTAATTTAGGGGAAAAGTCAGGTTTTAAAATTGTACTTGTATACCATCTCAAGAAGCTGTTTCACTTGCGTGAAGTCGCTCATGTTCGTATCACAAACATAATGCCGTTGGTCACACATGTCCAGCACCCACTGCAGAGACTCTTTCTTCTTTTTTATGTGATGCTCAATTGTCCTTCCCTTCAGTGCGTCTCCATAGGTGAACAGCACCACACAGCTTCCCCACACGCCGTCCCCCAGCACTCTGACGTGCGTCTCCACCGCCTTCCTGTCCTTCTCTGAGAATGAGTCCACAGGAACAGCCAGCAGGAAGATCACTTTGCTCCCAGCAGGACAGAACGACGGGCTCTTCAGGATCTCTCTCTTCACCTGCGCAGGTTTAGCCTGACCAAACAGACTCCACCCAGGGGTGTCCACCACCGTCACAGACCACCCTGAGATCTCTGCGTGCCCCGCATCGCACTGAACTGTCTTTTTGTCCCTCTGAAACTCCTCTCTGCCCAGGATCATGTTGCCTGCGGAGCTCTTCCCTGATTTTCTCCTTCCCAGCAGGATGAGGCTGAGTGCAGGCCTCAAACCGTCTGTGCCTGCAGTTACACACACCACAGTCAGGTTCTTTCACGCAAATCTCAGCAGTGCCTGACAGACAACAGTTCTTACCTCTTTGCCCTCCTGAGCCACTCTCTTGTCTTTGTCCTGGACGATTATCATATACCTGCTGCCTCGTGTTCCACCACTGTTCCACCCTCACATTCAGAACTCCAAGCTGGGTTCTCACTCTGAAGGATATCTCTCTGATCTGCTCTGAAACCTCTGCCATCTTCCGAATCTTCCAAATGAGCTGTCCAACGTGAAACTGTGCCGTACTGGACTGGCTGGACATAACCTGGTACCGGTGTCCACATCGCTCCAGCAGCCACTGCAGAGTCCGACCCTGTCGCTGTATATGCTCCTGGATTGACAGGTGTCCTGTAGGATGCAGACCTTTGCCAGATGAACTTAGTCTCAACTGACAACGCTAAAGAATGAACGTGACAAACTAGGGAACATACTGCGCAAAGAGAGACATGGAAATATGGATGCTTACTTGTAGTGTTATGAACTTTTCTATGAGAAAAGTACAAGTGCTTCTCAGAAAATTAGAATATCATCAAAAAGTGGTGCTTATGGCTCACAGCTAATGGAACCTCAAAACTCAGTTGTGCATGAAAATAAAATACCATAAAACATTACAATAAAGTTTTTGCTTAACACAGAAATGACTGCTGACTTGACAGTTATCCAGCAGACAGCCACTGACACCATTTACAAGGAGGCTGAGGTACATAAAGTTATTGCTAAAGCTGTCCGCTAACAGTGCGCCTTATTCGTGCAAAGCACAATCAAGAGTCAACGTTTCAAGTGCCACCACACAAACCTGTATCCGGGACCTGGGCTACAGCTGTCACAATCCTTGTGTAATGCCACTCCTGATCCAGAGACAGCCTCAGAAGTTTATTACCTGGGCTAAGGAGAAAATGGACTCCTCCAAAGTTCACCTCCAAACATTTATTCTGGTCTGTTTGAATTGTAGTGATTAGTGGAATCAAATTATTTTTCACACTATGACTTTCAGCAAGTTTTACTCATTATTAGACTGTGCGTGCCAATGAATGTTGTCTTCAAGTAAGCGATCAGGTGTCAGCTCAATGTAGCCGTTTAAATACAGCACCGTGCAGTTCCGCTGTTGGCCTCTAGATGTCAGAAACGAGACCTAAATCGCTGACGCTTTTAACCTCAGAGGTTAGCTCTTATGCTGCGTTCCAGAATGTTTTCAGGACTGGGAAATTCTGACTTCTCAATCAGAAAAGTAAACTCGAACGCCCTCCGTAGTCGGATTTCCCATTGGGAAAGAAAAAGCAACTCCGCCTACTCCCAGTTATGACTTGAAAGACAGACTTTGTGTTTCAGTATGGTCAACAACTGGAACGCAGAATCAGATCTGGGAACAACATTGGCAGTAACATGTTTTTCTCTACGACGACCAAACTAACAAGTAGAAGAATCCCCATTGAATACCATTAATTACATCTAAACAGAGGTTGTGTACTTATAAGAAGCCCTGGTTTTCAGTTAACCCACCATAATAGCCGCTTAAGACACTTTGAGCCAGGAAATTATTGCCTTCTCGTTGTTTAAAGAGAAAACACATCTAGGTTGTTATGGTGAGCTCACATGTTTGATGACGCATACTGAAGTTAGCCAAAACAGGTCACTGAATATGGAGGATCAGTGGTGTGTTTGGTAGGTTATGAAAATCAGAAGTATGATTTTAAACATGCCACTGACTCTTTCTTCATAAAGCTATAGAAGAGGGCATCATTAAAATTAAAATTTGAAAGCAATATTTTGTGGTGACATTGTGAATTGTGATAAACCATTTATTACCTATTTTTTATGTTTTGTATGGCTGTGGCAGCATTGTACATTTACTGCACAACAAACACAAATACTTGAAAAACATTCCCATTTTCAAAAGGCTTCTGGAGGTGGCCACTTTCTCATAAAGTGAGATTTATCTGACCTTTAGAATTTATAATTAAACAGTTCGTGTGTTTAATTATATTTTCAAATTTACTGTCATGTATTGGTGCTCGAACAAATGGAGGTGAAAATACTAAAAATAAAATTTCACATAACTGCCAGTTTTGATTTTTTTTTAGATCATTAATATGAAATGATAATTTATCATGACACTAATTCAAAATTCTGATCATAATAAAAAGAAATTTGATATAATGATACGATAAACGTCCACTCCTATATAAACTGCAACACTAATCCCTATGACTGAAGATTCTTTTCATGGCAGCTGAATGTTTGCCGTACAACCTTTCCTGATTATGACAGTGACGTCACTTTCATCCAACAGACCGTTTACCTAATTGGTCCCCGTGAGTGAATAGGATGATAGCGCGACTCCAGATGGGTGTTTCAAGCAGTCTGAGGTGGGCCTCCATGGCTCTCCACTCGTCCTGACCGAACACGGAGGAGATGGACAGCACCAGCAGGATGGCATCGGGTCCTGGGTGGCACAGGGTGAGAGCTCTCCCCAGCTCCTTAGACACCCAGTGTGGAGTAGTGGAGTTGGGCATCCACCCTGGGGTGTCCACCACTGCCACCTGGTGGAGGGAGCTCGAAGTTAGTATCGACAACTTTCCATTGAAGTGAGCAAGGCTGTAAGCCGAGTTATTTGCCTGGAACCCTAAGACGGTGGCGTTCCTCCGGCAGCTCCGGGTGGTTTTCCCGTTAAAAGCTCTTCCTGAGAGGATGGCATTTCCTGCTGAGCTCTTCCCGTTTTCTGTCTCACCCAGCAACAGTAAAACCAGTTGGGACTGATCTGATCTGGGACCTGACCAACATCCAGTATCTTTAAGTCATACACATAATACAGGTAATAATGTTCAGTAGAAATTGTTGGAAGTAACTTACCAAATGTGGCCATGTAAGGGCTGTTTAGACAGTTCTCCAGAAATAAACCAAAGTAGGGAGCAATCCTGGCTTGTCTTGTTCATAATTCCTCTTGCATGTTTAAATGCTGCAACTGTAAACACTGTTCTGTTGAACTGCAAAAATTAGTGACACCTTAATATGAAGGCGTATGGTTCCAAGGTCCAACGCTGAGGGCTTCCATGGAACTGAAACAGTCACACTACTAAAACACACACACCTGTGCCCACACCCACACAGGTTGTTGTCATAAAAGCGTTAGAGGCTGAAGAAGAGGAAATGTCAGAATACACAACAGAAGTTGGGTATTGTGTCAGTGTCTTCCATATGCTTCAGGAATAAAGCTCTGCAGGCTGGACTTTGGTTTATTACACTGTTCGAATTTGGTTTATTACACTGTTCGAAAGCTTGGCCTAATTATAAAGAGGTCCCCCAATCTCTGGGCAGTTTCCCTTTTATAGGGCTCTGGCAAACACACATGTAAACATATTAATTATCACATCCACATGTTCATCCTGTATGTCTTGTTTGTATCCTGGCACTTATCACGAGTCCATAGATCAACTTGTTTTTCAAACTCAGTGTCTTTTGACCTTTGGCCTGTTTTCCAGAGTATTCCAAAAAGTCCTTTGTGTTTCAGACACTGCACACTCCCTTAACGATTTCTTTTGGTTTGTAATTTCTGTAACCTGGCAAAAAACATCACCTGGGCTCACAGCTACTGAGAAACGATTGCTTTCTGATGGGATGGCCTCTTTTAAAGTTTAAAATTGTACTCAATTGCTAACGTTTGACCATGATGTATGTAATTTGCCATTTTGATACTATGACGCTAGGAGGAAATTGACGGCCCTTTTTCCACAACGCACATATAAAAAAGCCTTTCCAGCATCCCATTAAATCGTTTTTTTAAAGCTAACTAACCTCCAGTGGGACAAGAAAAGTGGCTTTGTCGTCCATCGTTGTTGTTTGTGGATGTTGCTTGTGTGTCAGAGTTATGGTCGTACCAGAAACGTACAAGTGTTGTGGCCGGACCAAAACATTTTTAACATCTATGTAATTAATTGAAATTAACTCCCAGCCCTAGATCTGATAAACTGGAAGGTGGGATAATTTCTCTTTACAATGACTTTCTATGTAAATCTTTTATTTTATGATGGACTCCATCATATCACATGTTGCAGATGCAGTAGTGGGCTTGCTTCTTCACTTATTTCTCAGAAAAAGCAACGTACCTACAGCTCTACATGAAGAACAGACCCAAATTCTTTAGCTATGCTCCACCTGTCCTCTAGTGGCCACTGTTACCAGATGTAATTGCTGCACCTGTTTCAGTCAGCAGAAGGAATTCCTCCTTTATGCCTCCCCCCCCCAAAAAAACAAAGACACATTGTAAAACCACTGTGTTGTCGACTTTTATTTATATATATATATGTATTTATATACTACTGCCACTGTTAAAAAGTGTGACTCATCACATCATCACTTGTAAGCATAAATAAGAACTTTTTTTCTCTCTCTTGAAACCTGGTAAATAAACCAACTGAAAACAGTTACGGGTCATTTTCAGCACCATTGAATAGTACATTCTCTATATTGCATCAAGATATAAAAATATACAGATCTAGTGTTTCGTCTTCTTGAAAACATTCTTTCTGTGTTGTTCAATGGTATGAAACAAGAGAGGAAGAAAAGAGCCAATCCCTGTTGATGAGGATTGTTACCATTATTATTATTGTTTCCATGACCCCATCCTTACGAGAGCTTCACTGGACCGTCCGTCCGTCCAGTCATTCACAGCACTTTGTAAAGCATCAGTAGCAGCCACACGTGGGAGAAACAAAAGAAACAAAATACAAGTGAAACATTTAACGCTCACAGAGCCTCCGGCCCTCCCGACCGCCGTTAGCGACAAAGTGAAGAAGATGCTGATAGTCATGGGAGTGCTGCAGTGCAGTGGGAAGGGAAAAGGGGGCGCTGTGGGAGAACCAAGCAGCTGTAACCCTAACCATCTCTGTTCCAGTTGCTCTAAGAAAAGTTGATCCACATTTCAAAGTGGTGATAATGCTCATGGTGCTGTGCTAATACCCTCCCCCTCCCATGCTCTGAATGAAAAACAAACATACTCAAAGGAAAAACAATGCAAGAAGTCAGGTTTAATCATCTGAGGCAAACGAGAAGATTAAGAAGAGTTGAAGGCGCAGTCAGGATGAGAGTTTGGTTTGCAGTGCATAGAGAGGGACTTCTGACATGGGTTCACCTGGTTGGTTGGTGCATTGGGGTTATTGCCCTGTTTTTTGTTTTTTTTTTGCTGCACACACATACACACACAGTAAACACACGCCTGCAGTCAAGATGAGCATGACACAGCAGTAAGAACAGACAGAGAACAGAGCTGGTGGATCGGGGTTCCTGTGGAATCCATGGTGTTCTCTCCAGCTGCAGCTTCTCGGCTGCTAGGTGGGGAGTCATCATATGTGTTTGTGAGGAACTAATGTCCAAATATAAATGTCCGTCCGTCTGTGCGACAGCCAAAGCCGAGCCGCGTCCTTCGGGAGTCCTCACATCCGCGAGGACGAAGCCAGCTCGTAGAACAAGACGTAGGCGTCGCTGCTGCGCACTTGGCTGGACGACATTGGCGTTACTCTGAAAAGAAAGAGAGAGAGATCAATGAGGTGTGATCTACCTGGTGTAGACACTGTGCTTGCTGGGAGAGATCTTTGCTGTTGTTGCTGCAGAGGAAACACTTGGATTGTTTAGAGATGATAATAACAGCCTTCTGTCTGGGAGCTTTTACGCAGTAAAAGGCTCCCAGACTTATCATGTGATCAGATCTCAGTTTCCTGGATATAAACTCAAGCTGACGTTATCGGCAGGTCATTATCACGTCTGCTGATATTGTCCCTACTCAAATGCCTAAGCCGAGGTAATTATAGATAGTTAGACAAAAACGTGGGATATTTGTTTTCCAACCTAATCCTGCTTTAAACTTCTCAATGACCTATCCGCTGAGTTCCCTGGTCTTCGTGATGCTGTTAATTCACTATTAGTATCTAATATATTTCACAAAATAGCTGGACTGGTTCTCAAACTGTGCTTTCACTCCTGTATGTAACCTGACAAATCTCTTCCTGCGTTGGTGCTCAAACCCACCTGGAGTCGTTAAAGGTGTACCATTCTCCCGAGCTGGGATTGCGACAATAGGCTGTGTAGTGACCTCCCATGGTTGTGCCTGAGTGGTTGGACACTGCATACAGGTTATATACTGCATTTGCTGCAGAGAGGAAGAAAACAAAATAAAAGTTAGCTAAAAGGTTGCTGGCAAACTAATATGGCGTCATGCTTAATAATATGAAGAATGGAATGAAAGGGGAAAGAGCTTACTGCTGTTTTCAGAGGCAAACTCTCGAAGGTCGAGGTCCTTCATGGGGAAGTTAACAAAGGTGGACAGTTTGCTGGTTCGTCGTGCCTCAGAGAAGCGTTTCAGGTCTGCAGTGGAAGGAGAGTCAAGGAGCAGTTGCTTTTTGAATCCCTGCTCCCGCTGTCAGAAGACTTAAATGCAACACGCTTTCTCTGTATGATTAAACAAACTACTGGGGTTTTCTAGGCTTCCGGCAGCAAAAGGTACATGGCAGAAGGAAAGGATACGCAGCACTAGAATCTTGGGGAACTTCTGTATTGTGAACTTCTTTGTGCACCTCCTCCTGGCTTTACATCTGTAGCATGTCTGCAAAGAGCAAGCAGAGGAAGTTGAGTCATTAGCTGCAAACAGCTGGAACAAACAGCCGCACAGGTGTTGGATCTAAAGGTGAAACGGAAACATAAACTCTAAGCTCTAAGTAAGTAAGTAATTACACTTTATATTTATATAGCCACTTTCACAAGTTAGAAACCACAAAGTGTTTTACAAAATACAAGACTTAAGAACACAGAAGACAAAACAGAGGGAGGGATAATACAGCATAAATGTGACATAAAATAAAATAAATTGAAAATAAAGCCAATCTGAATAAATGTGTCTTCAGTTGCTTTTTAAAAGTATTAAGAGAATCAAAGTTAGAGCATTCCACAGTGTGGGCCCACGGCCATAAAGGCTTTCATCCCCTCTGGTCTTAAAATGAGTGCTTTTACTGTATTAAAAGCCTTTGACTGGAAGATCTGAGGCTTCCAGTCCATCAGTTTTGCTCCATAAAAAAAGGGAAATGAGCCTTTAAAATGTGCAGCGTTCACCAAACGGAGCTAAAACGGGATAAAAACTCGGAATGTGTGCAGCTAATACATCTGCTGATATAAAACATATTACAAGGTAAAAATACAGCAGGAGAAATTGCTTGGACAAGCTTCGGTGAGGAGGTTGGTTCCTCATGGAGGACATCAGATGAACTACTTGGTGTCCATCATTGCAGCATTTTAAACTCATATCTGAACGTCACTGAAAACATTTTTATACTATTTCAGATAGATACTCACTTTAAGAAAAAGCTAACTATTATGGTAAAATTATTCAGCTGCCACATAGACAATGCCTCAGGGATGGTACAGCAGCACCCCCTGCTGGTCTTTGTTTGCCAGTAACATTTGTTTATATTAGTTGCTATTATTGTTGATTTTATTTGATCTAAAACACAAAATGTGCAAATTCTGTATTTATTTAGTGTTTTATGTGTAAATACACATCAGCTTGTGTTGAGGCATCGTAGTTACTACTTCTGATTTTGTCCTGCATAAGACTTTCAGAACTTTCTTCCACTTGATCAGTGAGTTTCCAACATGACATTAAACTGTATCCAGTCGTTGCCATGGATACCTACCGGCTTCTCATCCCCATCGAGGACGTCCTCTTTGGTGAAGAGCCGCATGCAGTCCATCAGACTCACCTCGCCGTAGCCCTTCTGAGCACAAACACAGATGCATTCACATAAGCAAGCACCAAAACAGACGTAGAATAAAAGCCCACAGAGCAAAGCACACAGAGAGACGGGAGAGAAACCAAAGAGCGTGTGTTAGGACTAGCAGATAGTAAAATAAGTCTATGCACTTACTGGATGCAGAAAATAGTGTGTGTTTGTGTTGTCTAACCTTTGCGATAGGCAGAGAAAGATCCCAGAAGGGATCGAACACAGTGGAGCAGAAACCACAGTGGCTGCAGGTCAGGGAGCTCTTCAGCTGCCCCACAAACACATCTGGAACAGAGGAAAAGTTGACAGCAAATAAACCTCTGAGGTCAGGGTTAACAAATGGGTCCAGTCTGCCAGAGATCACCTGACATGTCATCAGAAAAACAATAAATCCACTTTTTCACTCACCAACTATTTTACTATCCTCTCTTTCCAAATATTTACTCCACATCTTCTTCCCCTTTTCTTCATCTCTGTAAGCAGAACAGGTGTTGTTGATTTATGATGGGAGCATGTTGGCAGAAATCTCATATATGATAAACATGAAGAGATATTTTCTTTGAGGTCCCTGGAGCATAAATTACGGATGCAACGACATATCAACACACGTATTTATTCAAAACAAGTCTTTTTCTGCTATGAACAATTAGACTTTTTTGTTTGTCTTTTGGTGATGCTGTGGGCAGATTGTGGGAAATTTACGTCAGAGAAATTCTTTGGTCTGGCAAAAGGTCAAGCAGAGCGGAAGGCAGGAATCTCACCAAAGGGGATAAACAAAGACGTTAAGGGCTTCATAGAGTTTAAATAAAGTAAATACAGTCCTCCTACGGATGCAGGAATCACGTTGGCGGTAATCAAAATCAGCTTTCATCTGTGACTGCTTTGTAGATACTGCAAAATCCGATTTTTCTCCTGGTCATTAAATGTTCTCCAATGCCCTTTGTTTCAGGAGTTCAGTACAAATCTAATAAAGGGCAAACACATGATTGGATGCATAATTAAGGGCAACTTTGTAATCCCTTACTTTTTTTTTGTTTTTCAAAACTTCTACCTCAGAGAAGAACAGCGCAGCAGCGTATTTTTCCTCATATGGTTTTTATTCCATTTAATTGTGGAATTGAATCAGAATTGACTAAAATCAACATCATAAACAAACAAAGCCAGAATCAGTTAATAAAACCCTGATGAGGTGCCTCTGCAGCTGCCACATAGATATGCACCTTAAGAAGTGCATATCTGTGCCACTTCTTAAACTTTCTGCTGATCTAATTAAAACTTTTTCTATGAACAAGTGGGAGGTGTCACGTCATGCTTATTAGTTTGTCAGCATTGCTTTACGTCTTAAAAGTGATGCTTTGTGTTCAGCTGAGGCTCCGCTGGCAGAAAAAAAAAACAAGTTTTGTTCTTTCAAAGCTGCATAACAAATGATGCAGAATGTAACGAGTGCACTGCCTGTGGAGAAACTGCTTGTTATCCACAGATAAACATGAACCCTCAGGAGCAAGTTGAGGGTTGCACCTGACTCAACGCATAGTGTTGATTAGGTGAACACATGGGACCTGACCTACTTTACCTCCAACATGTAGTTGACACAGTTCATTACCATGAGCGACATGTGAGGCTAATGAAGACTTTATGATTCGTGTTATCCTGAGGAGCACCAACCAGGCTTTTTCATTGGCCGATACCAATTTCCTATTTTGTTTAAGCTTTTTCCGCAAAGATTTGAACAGGACTTGTAGTATATGTGCAGTATATTTGGTCCATGCCTACTGAAACTGGAGATCAGAGGGTGTATGTTGCAGTATCAGATTGTTCACAGATTTTCCTATTTGCAGAGTTTTCTGTGGACGTGACTCCAAATTATTCATGGAGATTTTTTTCATAGAGCTCATCTAAAACATACCTAAAAAATGAAACTTGGAAAGATGCATATAAAGGTATATTTGGTGTTTGAACTATTAAAATAGACAGTAATAAGCTTTTTATTTTTGGGTCTCAAGTGTTTGAGGTGGCTGTGATCCCTAACTCTCACAAACCCTGGTGGTCCACATATGCAGCAGACAAATGTTCCTAAGGTTCTTTGTATTAAGTTTAAATGGGAGTTTTCAGCTTTGATGCAGAGAAACAGAGTCAGAATTTTCACTATTTGTTCTCTCAGTTGTTGCTCAAAGCTGTTCGAAGGAAAATGGCTGATTTTTGATAGTTTGCTGATTGTTCCTTCACTAATTTTGCACTTATGATTGTCTGTTCACTTACGGCAGGTGGTCAAAGTCCTCCACGGTGCCCCTCGGCCTCACAGTGACCCTGTTGACTTCGTTATGCAGGCCGTCCAGCAGGAAGCGCAGGAACTCCTGAGCATCCTGTTGGCTGCAGCACACCAGCAAGAATCTCTGTTACATACATTCTCTTTCTCATTTAGAAACATGCAGAAGTTCCTCAGTACGTTCCTGCACGTCTATCAATACCGCACAAAAACAAATGAGCATTATAAAGTAATGCAACATACTTGTATCCTACAAATCTGGGAGCGTATCTCTGGATCTGTGTTTTGAATTCAGAAGGGCTGACCGCCTCGCTGCTGGTCGACGTCCACATGATCTGGATCAGCTTAGCAAATTCTACCAACACACAAATACGGACGTTAGTCGCATGACAGAAAGAAAACATCCAATCACTGATAACTAATTTTGCCCTTTTTTAACTTTAGCACACCATCACAGGGACGTTTTACCTCTTTGTTAAAAAAGTATCTACTTACACGCAGATCTAATTCAGAGCAAAACAGCTGCTGTGTGTGAGGAGTGTTTGTTCTGGACTCTAGGGGGCCTGTGTGACTCATGTCTCACCTTCCATGAGGGCTGTGTTGGTGCGGCTGTTGTTGTTAAGGTCTCTGCGGTGCGAGTTGTGCAGGCAGTAGTCACGCAGGTTCTGTGTGTTGCTCAGACACTGCAGGATACTGTTCATGAAACACTGTGGGGAAAACGGCAACATAAAACAGAGGAAAAGATGCCCCCCCAAAAAAATTTCCCTTTAGACGTACTGATCACGTTTTACATCAGCATCATTTCATTTTACACATTTTGCCACATTGTGAAATGTTTCTGGAAAACACCCCTGAACTGTTTAGCTCCCCCATCTCACATCCGGTATAAAGACCGATCACACACATGGGAGCATGACAAGTGTGCAAACAGCTCCCGTCATGTGCCTACATAGATCACGTGCGATTTGGTGGGTTCAAACCAGCAAGAGAGGCAGCAAACGATCAGAACGTCTGATTGAGTTACAGAACACACTCTCCATTTATTTCAGGAGTTCTCCGTCTGCCCTGTTGCCTAGCAGAGACTGTGTCGACCCACCAGACAAACGGCTCCTATAATTTACACAAGCAGGATTTTAGGACAACCCCAGTGAATCGGATAAGAAAGGCACGAGATAAAAACCATGATATCTCCCTGCCAAAGGGGAAATCTGTCTCGTGACGCTCTATCCAGTTGCTGTAAGCGTGTGACTTTGTCTGGAAAATTAAGCGTAAACTGCTATTATGAGCCCTGTTATTATGTGCTTTACGCTTAACACCCTGTTTAGACTTTTATTTTGAAATACGAAATTAAGTAATTCTTGAGTTACTCTGTTGTGATGACAGAGGCTGGGAGTTTACTTACAGTATTTCCTAAGTTCTTCAATCCAACCAGGCCTTGGGCACTCTTTGAGTTCTGGAAAAAATAAACACAGAAGAAAAATAACATTTTTAGATAACAACCTAAATATGAGCATCTTGACCAGATGGGTTATGTGTTCTGTATGAATCTGGACTCTACAGGGGATAAAGTAATGTTCTTTCTGCAAAGATACGGCGTTTAAAGGAATTTCAGATGTTCCCACAGAGATCCTGCTGGGTTGATTTAGTTTGAGACAAAAAAATCCATAAATCTGCCCACTGCAGGTGAGTGAGGGCATGCTGTTGCTCTGGAACTGACAGACAGGTGAACCTTCCTGCTGAGCATTATTCTGGCACCAGAACGTGTTGTTTTTTTTTTTTTTTAAATCTCACAATTTCACTTGCTCTCTTGGTGCTGCCTACCAGATGGCAGAGAGCTGATCAACAACAGAGGGTGTCATGGAAACACTGTAGTTTAAGGGTTTTTTCATTTTTTTAACACTCGCTTTCCCCATAGCAACAAAACCCAAAGCACAGCGCAACACGTGACGATTTCATAAAATCAGCAAATGGCCTGAAATGCTTTAGAGAACTTATGTCATCAGTTGGTGCAGTTACATTTCATTACATAAGTTGAGTTGTTACATAATTGAGCAGCTAAAGAAGAGCTAATAACGAACACAGGGGTGGATAAGAAATCCGCTGGTGTGCTTGACAACGAAGCAGAAAATATCAGATGACTCAACCTGAATTCATTTTTCACCAGCGTTCGTGGAGGTCTCACCGTTTCTGTTTTAATACCTGTGACAATATGCAACATTACCTGCACCACCCATTATTTTATGCATAAAAAGAAGCTACCTAACAGTGAAGACATGAAGTTGGCAGGATGTTCAGTTATTCTTGTATTTTCTGGGCTTTGAAAGCAACTATGCAGAGCTGGCAGCCTCACACCGGTCACCTGATCTCGCCCGCGGCTGAAATCTATCTCACTCACATGCTTCTTGTTCCCCTCGCCTGTGGTGTAGCTCTCTCAGAGCACCATGCAACAGGACCACCATGAAAACGGGCCAAATCCAAGGTGAGGCCACACAAGGCGTCTGGTCATGTCACTGTAAACTGAGCGTGAGAGCTTCCAGGGTTTTTAGAGCATTAACTCTGACGAAGTGACACAGAACTGTACGTACAACAGCTGGTTATCTTATTATGGGAACAAAGAGAGACAAACAAAAGTGCAGTTTCTTTTTAACACAAAGGTGAACTGAAGTGCTCACACGTGAAACACTGTGACCTCAGAAACAGAGCTTGAGAGGCCGCACAGATTCACAGGCAAACATGACAAACCACCGTTCAGACTTGGTGACCTTGCTGACATGGGGGACTTGTCATCAGAGACGACCAGTTGTAAAACTATCGGCACTAACACGCTCTCTGAGGGGCAGCGTAGTCTGCAGTGCATCAGCAGCAGTAATTAAACCATCTGGAATTAAAGGATATCACATCTGATGTATCAGTGCTGGGTTCTCCCACATGTTGCAAGCTTTACACACCAAACATTCAGAGATAGGATTAGTTGGTCCCAGAATCTGAAGCTAGCTTCTCTTTAAAACCACTTTAATACCAAAAATTCACTTTTTATCAACTTTCCCAGTTGTATCGGGTGATTACTTACAGAAAAGCCAATCAGTATAAAAAGCTGCAATTTTAGAGAAGCTGAAGGCCTTGTACATGCGTAGCTGCATCTTTATAATAACAAACATCTCTGCCATATTGTTTTGAAAAATCATTTCGAACACACAGGGCCATTTTCAGAAAAGTTTTCATCCACATGATCTCGCACAAATATGCCTCTGAGTGTTGCTTTAAACATGCCAAACGCAAAGAGGGCGGCGCCCTCCCTCTAAAGAGATCCGCCGCTGAGCTCGAGGACGTCCACATGATTGGAAGAGAGTTCGGTGCATTTGTCCCTAATGTGAGCCTGCAGCTCATCTAGTTATAACAACTGCCTCAAAAAGAGCTTTTTACTCTTACATAAATAACCTCCTGCCATCTGTCTCTTGCAGAGGAGCAGTGCAGAGTTGATGTGGAGGAGGGAAAAAAAAAATTCCTCAGTTTAATTAACTACGGCTTATCTAAATCCTCCTTTCTGTTTATTCCCTGCAGTGAGGCGAACAGATTATTAGCTCTGGTGGAGAAAAGTGAACACAGAAGCGGACACATCCTGTCCATCACAGGCCGACTGATGAACATCTCGGGTCTACTCCGTGTTTGTTTTTTCTCCGCACACACCAAGCCCCACCGCTGGAGCGAGCGCGTCTCCAATCTGCTGCATTCTGCTGAGTGACGCCACAGTCGGCCCCCAAAATAGCAGCTCAAATTTTAGTAACTGTGCTTGTCCACACACAATTGGCTGATCGTTCAGTGGACCGTCGGACGTCAGGACGGTCACGCAAACGTCTCTGTCTCTGTGGCAACGCCCCTTTCTTAAAACTTTTCTCCAAAATTTGTGGGAGAGAAAGCTACCGGAGACTATGACATCACAGCAAAGTGTGTGACTCAGAGTGTGTGTGTGTGTGTGTGTGTGTGATAATGAGAGTTCAGAGTAGGTGGAAGTGTCAGCGAGGAAATGGGAGCAGATGTGATGCGCTTTACACCCGGAATGAAGTCAGAGCGAGGCTGATCACAGAAAACAGAAATAATCCGATTAAAAAAAGAGACAACTGATGGCATTACTGCTGGTGAGTTACGAAGCAGGACTCTCCTTGATAACACTCTTTAATTAATGTAAGAAGAACATTTCCATGTCTTCAGTTGTGAAACTCTGCCTGGTAATGAAAGTCACTTGTGTCTTATTTTATGTTCCGTCTTGTGTCGAGCTGACAGGCTGTAACATGGAATTACAGCCCTTAGTTATTAAGTCTTTCTTTATTGAGCAGTGTGTCTAACAGCATCTGTGTGTGTGATGATTCAGGAATGCCTGGCTGCTGCTATGCTTCCAGCTTGTGGCACAGCAATAAAGAAGGATAAATATGTTATGGTAATCCTGCTCTCTTTTTCCATACTCAATAGGATACTGGGTATGGATTTAAGGCCAAGCACATGTGAAATTTATTTTGTTTCCTGGAGCTTAATTTAGTTAAGACCACATTAGGCACGGGCAATATGGACTTAGAATTTTTATCACAGTATTTGTGGTATTATAGTGTCAACAATAAAAAGGATGATAATGTATTACTTCACTTTTAGGTAACTGTATGGTTGTAAGTGCATGTCAGCATTTATAAAGTCACAAAAATAAATAAAAATACTCCCATTTAAAATATTCTTCTTCAGAATGCCAGTTAATTAAAGAGGTGTTATTTATATCACTAAGCTGCACACAGTCACTGCATCTAACTATATTTTTAAAATGTAACTGATATTCATTGATGCTCCTGTGGAACAAGCAGTGGAAAAAATTGTAATAAATAAATAAATAAATAAATAAATTTCCAATAACAGTGTCAGTCTTTTTTTAGCATCAGTAATTGAAATGTATCAACACAACGTAAAATCAAAATTCTTAACATGATAAGAAATTATTCATGATAAGTTCTTATGTACAATAAATGCCCAACACTTGAGAAAATGAAAAGATTTCCATCATAAAGATATTTATGGATGCCTACATGTGGTCAAAAGTTCTTAGAGCTTAGCTATGGGCTAACCTAGCGGTGGGTGAGTCTTCTTTCAGAAGCACTACAAGAGCAAAATCTCTCTTGTCAATACTGATTATTGTAGTTATAAAAGAGAACTGGTTATAATGAGTATATAATGAGCAAATAGAACCAGAGATCAGTACCTTTCTTGAGTAAAGGCATAGAAAGGGCAGGACACAGTTCATGACATGTAAGTTCTAATCTTCCAGGGTGGATAATACATTTTGCACACAGAAGAGAATAACTATGCTCTTTTCATAAATGTCAGAAGCCGCTCAGGCAGCCAGCGTGTTATTTTTGAAAGGCTACTCAACGGAGGCTGAAAGGCATCACAAAAAAAAAAGCTGCATTAAAGCCAAGCAGGACTGCTCTCTCTAAAGCTGGGAATAAGAGACAGAGGAAATGTCCCTCTGGCGGACAGCCAGGTCTACGGAGGTTAAAATCTGTCCGTCCACTGTGCTTCAGTGAATCTCAAAGTGTGGGACCGCTGGTAGTGCAGGAGAGGAAGTAAAGGGTCAAAGCAAGGTGAGGAAAAAGGAAGGGATGAATAATCTTTGATGGTGGCTTGGCTTTTTGGCTGGACTTCACAGAAAATCAGAGGAAGTCAACATCAGTAACAACCCCCCCCCCAAAAAAACTGAAGGTTGGAGATTTTCCCCTGACCACTCAGAGAACTTCATCACTCACCATCAACTGTGTTAATACTGAGTATAATCTGAGGAATTCAGCATAAAAATGACTGACGTATCTTCAGTAAGCTTCAGTAATCAGTTGATACTGATATAAATGTGGAAACTAAAGGTTATGAAACTCTCTTGGTTCTAAGGTAACTATGCTAATAATGACTGACTTTGGGCGTTTTGACCTATATACTACCATCTTAAGCTAACAATTTTTTTCTGCTTATTAATATAAAGATGACAGAGTGCCTCAGCTGGACTGCAGCTGCTTCCTGGCAATCTGAGCCTTGTTGAGGCTGGAGAAGGTGTGAGAACATAACAAGCACAGAGGACAAGCTAATGAGCTATAAGCTAATGACCCCTCGAGGGAGTGGTATATTTAGGACGACAGTTTGGGACAAAGAAGCATTCTACTCCTCTCTGTGCCACCTTATTTAAGTCCAGTATCAAAATCATAGTTGTTAAACAAGCTGGCCTTTCATTTCTATAGAAAAATCAAAGATTATTTTTTTGCAAGCTAGTTTTTGACTGTTTCAGTTTTTGTTTTGGACAAATAACAATACAAGTGGCACAATATAAATAAATGAATGAATGTGATACCTGGTTGAGCTAACAAAAATAAAGTCAGAGGAAGCACATAGATAAAAGAAGCTACTAAGAGGGAAATGCATTTTCTC